ATCGACTAGATAAAGTACAGAACTATAAATAGCAACAACAACTGAATCAACTATAAAATAACATAATGAGATATATATAATACCATCCTACAACATATACAAAAGAGAACTAATTATCATGTTTTCATTATTATGGTTTAGTTATTATTAAGCTTACTTAAATTTTCAATCTTTGTCAAAATGCAAAATGTCACCATGGACTTCAAGTTTACATTCACCTCAATCTTCAGCTGGCCCAATTTACTAAATATTAGTTGTGTTTACAAGCATGTTTTATGAATTAGATAGAAAATATACTCTWTGAATTCATTTAGAGCACGAAATATGAATAGTGTTTTTTTGCCCTATATTTTTGGGCCAATCAGATTGCAACAGGCCATTACAAATCAAATTGTAGGTAATTAATATTCTACCAATTCGATAGCACATAGTCTCTCCCAGCAATTTACTATTAAATCTATAGATCTTGATGGGCCTTGTTTTCTGTGTCACAAAGTTTTCCACAACCGAATKACACTTCAAAAATTGGTGAAAGAGAACCATATTGAACTTTTTTTTATATTTTCAGAAAACTTTAAATCCAACATTCATCTTTAAAAGTGGACTGGGAACACAGATCTTAATTGATAAGAATTTAGAGATGTTAAACATTAATTAAACAGCTATGATGCAATAACATGTGAATATTTGATCACAAAAACAGGCATTAATTAGTCACCATATAGTATTAGTAATTGATTAGTATATGATAAGAGTAGAGATACCTTTGATGTGACTGTAGCCAGTTATGGACAAACATGCCTTTMAAGTGGTGGTCTTACACGTTTCGGTTTTCCCRTACARGAGTGCCAAAGGGTACGGTTCCTTCTGTACTATTTGTGATTAGCCCATGGCCATTATTGTAGCACCAAGGGCCATGCATCCAGCTGGGAAATTAGATGTTAACAACATCTTCATTKCAGAGAGMAGTTCTGTTATCCCCTTCCCTTTATCATTAGCAAGAGTGWCACAGCTTATTGCSTCTATATTGTCAATCATGTACGTGTCTGWTAGGAAAACAAAATTTTATTGAGCATAAAAAGTTAATTTCAACATATGGTATACACATTAGTCATTGTTTGAGCACTTCTGTGGATCTAATGKCAATTTTGAACCAGCAAAATGCAGAATTCCACAAAAAGTTGAATTGCCAGAAGGAAATTGATATTTGTCATTGATTAGCTCTGCATGGAAATCTTTGTGAAGATAATTACAAATTGAATTTCGAATTTTTTAATGTATGGTTATTGTTTTTACCCTCTTTCTTTTTATTTTTTTCAGCTGTGTAAAGGACAAACTTGTCATCTTCGCTTATGAGGCACTTTTCCTTTACATTGACTTGGACGCTGTGGTTAAACACATGTGGCGCATGGATGCCATACTGGGGACTAAAAAGTACCCTCTAACCAAAACTGCAAGTTATTTAATACGCCTGAATTTTCTTTTTCATGAGCAGAAGTTTCAAGTCAAGCTGATCCCAATCAAACTCCAGATCATCCTGTACACTGCACTTGTGGGAAAAACTGGAAGAATAAAAAAGTGAAGCTCATGATCAAGACGTATGTGTAACAACAAGGTGTGTTTGTCACAAACACGGAAAGAAATGTACAAGGAAATGCCGATGTAGAGTTTTTATGTGCCACAATCAGCTAAAGCCGAAAGAAAATCCTTGTCTAAATAATCAGTCACCCAATCGTGATTGTAGCTGTGGCAAGTCAGATTCCATCATTAAAGCTTGTCAAGATGGTAAAGAAGAAGCAAATGTCCCTGTGTTAATGGAGGTAGATGTTACAATTTGTGCAAACGGAAGATCAACTTCAGCACCAACACCACCTTTTAAAAGGAAAAGGGAAACTATTTCTCTATATTCAAAATAAAAAAACAAAAGATTACTAGACAGATATTGGAGCAACAGTCAAAAGAGGTCCATGGACTGAATTGGAGACATAAAGTCTCACAATTTACAAAGAAAAATGAAGTCCCAATAACCTCTTTAAACTTAAGAGCAATTAATAATTTTGGTTGTAAAATGCAACAACATTAAGAACATTTCACTCATGTTAAGTGAAAAGAGCACTGCCCAAGTGGCAGCAAAAATGCAGTACCACAATTTAAGAAGTTAATTTATTTTACTTGATGATCGGACAGATCGTGATTAAATATGATAAAAATATGTCAGAAAAGTTCAAATGTTTATTTTTTATAATACTGTTTATAAATTTATTTACGTTCTAATTCACTTTGTTCAAACGAACGTAAATTATTTTCTATATTAACACAGTAAATAACGATCGATTTTTGATGGTTTGGTTGCTCAGGCAATCGAACAACTTGTGATTTATTCTATTGTAGTACAATAATATGATAGAATGGCATTATAATTCACGCGTTATGTATTACATCTGTGATGAATGGAAACCTTAAATACTATACATATCATATATATTATAATTCACGAGTTATGTATTACATCTATGAAAGATTGTGAACCCTAAACTCTATACATATCAACCTTAATAGCATCTTCTCCAAATTAGCTTATTATTATTAAATCAAACCCAGATTATTTGTTAAGGAAAGCCGTTTCTCAACGTCCTCTAAAACGTACATGTCCTTTGCTGTGTCGGACTTCCAGCGTCCATGCAATTTTAGCACTCTTTCAGATAAATTTGGATTATTCTTAACTGCCGACGTTGCACCCCCTGACCTAAGACTATGCAGACCATAAAGCTTTTCGTCATAACCTAAATCTTTCACAACCTCGTTCCCAGGGCCATCACGGACTCCACAAAATGGCGGTCGTCCAGCGATGACCCTGGCAAACATTGATTATCACGTGATCAAATAGTCCACGATACATGGACTATTTGATCACGTGGATATCTATACAAAATGGCGGCTGTTAAAGCAAAGTAACAGTGAAAAGTTGTCGTATACATTCATTTATTGATCAGTATTGGTGCTCCTTAGAGCTTGTAAAAATAGTATTTCACAAGTGTGGTATTTTTCGACCTCCGTCGTTCACAATCTATGACTTTGGTTGGGCTATTTTTGATATTTTCATCGTAAACGAGAAGTAAACTTAATACATCAGAAGATGTCGAGCCGGAGGCAAATTAACAAAGCTTTATATGTCTACCATAACTGCAAGAAGTCGTAAAAGACTTCTACCAGCTGTAAAATAGAACGGCCTTAACTTCCTTAGATCCCCTAGCATGATAGTTTCGTCTTTACTGGAGCTTCTTTTGCTGTGTTGCTTCGAATCGATGCGGATGCCAGAGCAATTATCAAATGCCTGTGCAATCAAGCTCATTCCAGCTGCAGCTCTTGAGGCACGAACAATTGCTTTGTCTGTTTTGTTGGCGCCCATTTGTTTCACCATTTCCTTGGAATGATATAATAGTAGCCATTTTAACAAAGATAGCATAAATTTCAGTGTTAAAAAATCGCCAGTATTAAACCTTTCACCAAACTGATCCACTTTTAATGAATTGAAGAGAATATCTCACTTTGCGTGCTTTGTTGCAGATTTCTTGCGCTGTATCACAAGAAATGTTTTTTCCCTGACCACCATGCCAATTC